CCCCCCGCCCCTATGCAGGGCACACACAGCCTCTCCACAGATGTAGGACTCCTCCCGGGAGGAAAGGGGCATAGTGCTCAGGCCTAGCCGCACCGCAGAGAGTGGAGAGCATTTAAGGCTGGGGCGGGGAGTTACCTCCGGGGGTTACCTAGGAGGCCCAGGTTTCCAACCTGGCTCCGAAGCAGGAAGCAGGCCAGCCATCAGGACCGTGAGGGGATGCCTCATCGACATTCAGGCCCAGTATCGGAGGCTCCGCTCAGGGTCTAGACGTCACCAGTGCCCTCCGCCCAGCAAGGCTTGGGGAGCACTGAGCAGTCCTGGAATGTCTACCCTTGCCTGGAGAAGGGGCTGCCCTGGTTGCTCGCTTGCACTCTCCTCTCAAGGAGCTTGGCTCTGTAAGGACAAACACACCAAGCACGAGCCCTTCCATGGTGACCATGAGGCTCAGGGCCGTGGAGCCGGGAGAGGTCTGCCTGGCGGGCTGAGTGGCTGGGGGTGGGACCTGCCTGTGCGAAGGGATGGCGGTAAGAGAGAACCTGCCCTGTTTCAGGCCCAGGCAGAGGGCAGGAAAGGCTGGGGAGCTGGTCGGTGCCCACGTGCCCTGGATAAAGGGAGGCAGCCGACTTGCCCTCCTGCCTTGCAGGACGGCATCCGGCCCATGTGGGAGGACAGCAGAAACAAGCGGGGTGGCCGCTGGCTGGTCAGCCTGGCCAAGCAGCGCCGTCACAGCGAGCTGGACCACCTGTGGCTGGAGACAGTGAGTGGGAGCTGGGAGGGCTGGGGTGGCCTTGGCCTCAGGACAGCAGGGGCAGACCCTCACCTCTCCTGCCCAGCTGCTGTGTCTGATCGGAGAGAGCTTTGCGGAACACAGCAGGGAGGTGTGCGGGGCTGTCATCAACGTCCGTGCCAAGGGGGACAAGCTCGCCGTGTGGACCATGGAGGCGGAGAACCAGGCGGGCGTGCTGTACATTGGGTGAGGTGTCTGGCACAGGGTGGGGTGGGGCCTCTTCTGGGGAGGAGGAGGAGGGGTGTTTGGCCTGCAACAGAGACCTCTGGGGGTCTGCAGATGACGTAGCACTTATGTTGTTGGACTCCTACACAACCGGATGTGGTTCGAATCCCAGACTTGGTGGCTTGAAAATCACATTGGTGTGTGTGCATGCATGCCCAAGCCCTGGGAGGGGAGTGGAGGAGAAGGGATGGTGGCATGGCCAACCCCCCTGAGGGGTGATTTCTCACTTTTCCTCTCTGTCTCTCTGTCTCTCTCTGGGAAGTACATGTGCCCCAAGGTAAAAACCTCTTTAAAAAGTGAGAGAGAGAGAGAGACCGCTGAGCCCTCCCTGCTCTCTCACCCTTGTAAGAGGTTTAGAACCTAGATCTCAAGCCCTGTCCAGCGGGAGCACTTCTCATTTGCTTTTCAGCGTCATGCTCTTGTTTCCCTGTGGGTAAGATACACAGAAGAGACTGTTGGGACCAGCCTCGGGACCTGGGGCAGGCCTAGCTACCTCCGGTCCCCTGCTGACCACTGGGTCATGTGCTCTGTGCTCCCAACCCCCGCAGGCGTGTATACAAGGAGCGGCTGGGCCTCTCTGTGAAGACAATCATCGGGTACCAGGCCCACGCCGACACGGCCACCAAGAGCAACTCCCTGGCCAAGAACAAGTTTGTGGTGTGAGCCCTGGTGCCACGCCCACCCATGGGCAGCCACCCTGCGCTGCTCCCGGGGCAGGGGGCAGGCAGAGGCTGGCCACACCATGGTCCTGGTCAGGGCAGGGGCAGACGCCGATTCCCACCTGTCCTGGAGTGCATGGGCACATGAACGCTCTTCAGCATGCTCTGGGGCCCAGGGGTAGCTGGGTGGGGGACAGCCTGAGGACCTGGCTTTTCCCGGTCCCCAGGGCAGCAGCAGCGTAGAGGAAACACCTGTCTCCAGTTTCCCCTGGTGTGGGGTAGGTCCTGCGGGAGGGGCCCGAGAGCAGCTGGGAAGATGGCAGCGTACTCTGTACAGCCTGGGAAGGGGTGAGGCAGCCTGAGGGCCGACTCTGCCGCTCTGGAGGAGGGGGGTTAAGACCACTGACCATCCAAGAGCTGGATTCAGGCCCCGGAGGGGCTTCTCGGTGTTACACTCTGTTAAAGACCTTTATGGGCTGTCTCTTACAAATGTGGGACTTTGGGACCCACCCACAGGTTAAGGGGAGTGGAGGCATGCCCCCATCACAGGGCAGGAGGGTGAGGGGACCATACGCCCTCACCGACACAGGGTGATGTAGGGACGCCTGTGAGGCTCCCACCTGCTCAGCTGTGACCGTGGCCTTGGTGCCTGGCCTGCTCAGGTTAAAGTGGAATGACTGGGAAGACCCAGCCCCCAGAAGAGAAGGATGAGGGTGGTCTAGGCCTCACTATGGTTTTGGGAGAGGGATTAACTTGAACATGAAGTGTAACCTCATCTGTCCCTGTTCTAAATAAATACTTCTGAATGAAATCAGGATTACTATTACTATTATTATTTTAAAGAGTTATTTTATTTTAATTTTGACCAGAGAGGGACAGAGAGAAAGTGGAAAAGCAAGCCGCCAGGTCTGGGTTCGACCATGCGGGAGCCAGCGCCTTAACCACCACGCCATCTACTGGTCCCATGCTATTACTTCTAAGAAAGGTTTCTGCTATAGTGCGTGTGCGCTGGCCGGAAAGACAGACCAGAAGTGAGAAATCACCCCCCCGAGGGGATGCCCCCATCACAGTGTGGGAAGGTTAGGGGACCACAGCCTCACTGACACAGGGCAATCCCTTCTCCGTTCACCTCTTGGGATTTTGGTCATGCGCGTATGCACACACATGCCCGATGTTAGTTTGAAGCCACCAGATCCAGAACTTGAACTGTGGTCCACTACATGGGAGTCTAGCAATGTAACCATTACGTCATCTGCTGGTCCTGAAATAAACTTTTTTGGAGAGGTTTTTGTTATAGGGCACATGCGCTCACCTGAAAGAGAGACAGAGAGAGGAAGTGAGAAATCACCCCCCAGGGGGGATGGCCACACCACAATTCCTTTTCCATTCTCCTCTCGGGACCTTGGGCATGCATGCACGCATGCACACGGTGTGAGTTTAAGCATGCACAAGCATGCACGCACGCATGCACGCACAAGCACCTGGTGTGAGTTTAAGCCACTGGGTCTGGGATTCGAATCGCGGTCAACTACATGGGAGTCCAGCAACATAGCCATTACGCCAACTGCTGGCCCCTTAAATCAGAATTATTTTTTTAGAGGTTTTTTTGCTATAGGGCGCGTGCGCTCGCCAGACAGACAGAGACATAGAGACAGAAAGCGAGAAATCACCCCCCAGGGGGGATGGTCATGCCACAATCCCTTCTCCATTCTCCTCTTGGGATCTTGGGCACGCACGCACACACACCCGGCGTGAGTTTTAAGCCACCGGGTCCGGGACGCAGTGGTCGACTACGTGGGAGTCCAGCGACATAGCCATTACGCTAACTGCTAGTTCCCAGTCAGAATTATTTTTAAGAAGGGCTTTAAAATTACGAATCAGCCTGCACTGTTCTGCCCTGGAGGGCCCATGGAAGATGCTTAGGTACTGAGGAGCCCAACTAGAAGTCGAGCTGGTATGGGGAAAAGGGTAATTGTCCTGAGTGGCTCTGGGTGGGGAAATGGGGTTTACGCCCTTGGCAAACACAGCTGGGAGGCAGGGAGCCGCAAGCATGGCATTTGCAAGACCCGATCCATGTCTGGCCTGCGTCTGAGCCAGTATAGGTTGTGCTGAATTTCCCGAGTTCAACAATCTAAGCCTATTCCACCTATTAAAACATCCTGCACATGGAGGGGGGGGCAGCAGGCGGCCTGGTGGTTAAGGCTCTGGACTCCCACATGGCTGGCCATGGTGTGGGTCCCGGACCTGGCAGCTTAAAAATCACGCCAGGGAACCAGCATTTGGAGTAATGGCTATGTCACTGGACTCCCATGTAGTCGACCGTGGTTTGAGTCCCAGACCCGGTGGCTTAAACTCATGCCCGGTGCATGTGTGTGTGTGCCCAAGATCCCCAGAGAAGAATGGAGGAGAAGAGATTGTAGCATGGCCCTACCCCCTGGGGGGTGATTTTTTGCTTCCTCTCTGTCTCTGTCTTTCTAGTGAGCGCATTTTTCACTTTCCTTCTGTCTCTCCAGAGACTGCAGAAGCCCTACAGCAAAAACCTAAAACAACAAAACCAAACCGAACCCCAAATGGGTCTAAATCACCTCCCCGTCTGCTCACCAGAGCAGCAGCTGCTCATCCCCAGGGATGAATTCTGAGAGCAAGGCCAGGGACTAGCATGGCCGGTACTGAGATTTGCAGGACTGGGGAGCTGAGGGTTCTATACATCCGGGGCTTCTAGTGCCACCCGTAGGAGACCCTTGCGGGACTGAGAGACTCTGGGGACCTCGCCTCGTACAGACTCAAGCCAAAGGCGGAGCCAGAGCTGCCCGGGGGCGGGCCCTGCCCAACCGTGGGGCAGGGACTATGGGGTTAGGGACAGTGGGGCTAGAGGGCGAAGCCGGGCCCAGAGTGGGGCTGCGAAGCAAAGATGGGGTCCGAGAGTCGAGCCGAGGAGGCGGAGCCCAGGGCGGGGGCGGAGCCAGGCCCGGAGGCGGGGCTGCGAGGAGTCACGCCGGGCTCTAGGCAGGCGATCTGGGCGCCGGGGGCGGTCCCTGCCGGGCAGGCGGGGCCGGGCCGACGCGGCCCGGCCCCCGGCTCCGGTTCCCGGGGCGGCGGGCGGCCGCTCACTATGCCCGGCAAGCACCAGCACTTCCAGGATCCCGAGGTCGGCTGCTGTGGGAAATACTTCCTGTTTGGCTTCAACATTGTCTTCTGGGTGAGCGCGGTGTCTGCGCCGGGCCCTGCGGGGAGACCACCCCTACTCCAAGAGCTCGGGGCTCGGGACTATTCCCCCAGTGTCTCCCCACCCCCACTCCCAGGACCACCCGAGGAAGCTAAGGAGAAGACCGGATTACTGGGGGCGAGTCCCAACTGCGGCGGGGACGGGGTAGGAGTCCCACCTGCGGCGGGGACGGGGTAGGGATGGGAGCCTCCGGGATGGTCCCGAGGCCCAGCCGAGAAGCCAGAGGGGCTCCATTGAAGAGCCCAGGGACGCGCTGGCCGGTCGCCGCTCTCGCCAGCCCTCCTTGCCGGGCCACCGTGCGGTGTGGGCCGCCCGCAGAGCTCCACCCAACCGGGTGGGGAACGTGGTCTTGCAGGAAGGGCCTGGGAGGCACCTACCAGCGCCGCCCTAGGCCTGGTACCTAGACTTCTGCAAAGGGCTGAGGGCCACAGATCTCCCCCACCCCTGTGGGCGCTAGATTAGCAGGCCGGGCTGGGCACTAGCCAGGTGAGTCTCAGCCTCTGGAAGGGCATCCCGGCTGCTGAGAACCCTGAGCTGGCACCTGGAAACAGAATTCAACATTCCACAACTGACAGACTGAGGCTCCAGGATGAGGCTAACCCTGTCTGGAGAAGGGAGCTGCTAGTGCCCCTCCCAGGGTGCCATCTGTGCCCCTGGGCCCTGCCAAGTCATCTCTCCCTTCCCTCCCCCATCCCGGCTCCAGAGCTGCCTCCTCTGCAGTCTCTCCAAGCCTTTCGCTTGTGCTGGTGGGCCGCGTGGTGCTGCGGGCTCACGTGCTGGCGGGGCTCAGCCAGGGGTAGTACTAGGCCTCAGCAGCAGGGATGGGCAGTGTGCAGGAGCACGGAGGAGGTAGGAGGCCTGGGTATAGCAGCCAGCTCGAGACCTTGGGCAAGTCACCTGTCTCCCTGGGTCTCAGCTTTCCTGCCTGGGAGGCGAGTAATAAAGTCTGTTAGGGCTATTAGGCAGAATGAATGAGTTTTGACTTGTTATATTTAAATGACTACATTATCATTTCCATTTTGCAGATAGGAGACCTGAAGGAACAGGCACAGAGAGGTTAAGTCATTTACCTAGGATCACACAGCCAATAAGTGCAGAGTCAAGGTGACAGCTAAGCAGACAGATTGTCTGAAGGTCCAGGGGACCCTGGTGCAGCCCTGTTTTAAACCGTCTGGTTGTTTCTTGCTGGCCCTGGAATCTGGTCCATGTTCCTCCCCCAGGCCTCAGGACCAGCGGGGTCTGGTTCTGCACTTGACAAGCCTTACTCAGGGCCTTGGCCGTGGCCGGTCCCTCCGCGTGGACTGCAATTCCTCCTGCACCTTCTCATCTTTCAGACCCCAATGGAAGCGTGGCCACCTTCCCTGCCCCCCAGCATGCCCAGCCCTGCAGCTCCCATGCTCCCACTGTGATTCTGTTTGGAGGGTCTGCTGTCCATTTGCCCCTGGAGCGAACTGTGGGCTGAGAGCTAACGAGGGGCCTGGGTGCGGGGTTGTGTGCAGCAGGTGGCTGGAACCAGGAGAGGCCAGGTGGAGGTCCTGGGACTCCAGGGACACCAGTGTCACGATGGGTGAGGAGGGAGAGGGCAGAAGGCTGAGGCCCAGGGGAGAGGCCACAGTCCCTGGTGTGGGTGTGAAGGAGCCCAGAGGAGCAGGGGTGGGAGTGGAGGTGAGGCTGTCTGGGAAGGAAAAGGGGGCCTGTGCTGGGGCAGGCTGTGGTGAGGCAGGAGGAGTTTGGTTTCCCGTAAGCAGACCCAGCACGGTGAGAGTGAGTCGCAGGGTGGGGGTGACCCAGCAGTGTGGGGGTGACCCCGTAGGGTGGGGAGGTGAGCCAGTGCAGGGAGGGGAGCTGG